ACTAGGTATTTTTTGTGCGAGTCCAGAGGGGCACCCCCCCCTCCAAGGAGGGTCTGGGGGCATGAAAAGGAGCTTAATGAAGGGGGAGGAGGGTCTGGAGGACTCCCATAGCTCAGGAAAGAGGGTCAGAGAGGCTGAGGCCTCCCCGAAATTTTTTTGAAAAATTTAGTTGTCTCACCAAGCAGAATTTTGAGCTCCAAAATTGATTGAAAAATTAAATTTCTTTTTTCTTGAATTTTATCTGATATCTATGATTTTTTTATGAATATATCATATATGCATACTTCAGCATATATAATATTTTCTATATGAACTAAGTTACAAGACACCGTTATTAAAGTAGGGATAAGCATTGCATTTGTTTCTCCTATCGGAGGTGTATTTGAATATTGATTTTGTATAATTGAAAGATATTTTTCCTGTTTAAAATATCAGTAAAGTGATTACTTCTAATTTCCAAAATTAGTATCACATACAATCTAGTTTAACAAAATATCCCAACACTTCAATAATTCACTCAGGCCGAAAATAAAACAAATCAATAAATACACATTCAATAGACAATACTATTACTTATCCTGATTAGTATTTGAATGCAACAAAAGAATACGTGTCCTTTTACGTTGTATCATAATGTCTCGATCCTTTTTTGCGGTCCACTTTCTATCCTCTTTAATAAAAGTTATCGTGAGCCCACAAAAAGTAAGGTAGTCTCTTAGAAACAACATTTTGATTACCTTGTTATTCCCGCCTGTTCATGAAAGCATGGACTTATTAATCAAGAAGATCTGAATAGCTTAATGACTCAGGAATATAGTCATAAACGCAGACTACTTGTGCCACTGCAGAATTTTCTAGAGTATGTAATGTACATTTACCACCTTCACACCTCCTAGTTCTTTGCTTATGCAATAGTTTCTGCGAAGAAAATTTCGTTATGCAACATTGGGACTTTCCCGGAGAAATAAAACGATTCCTCGCTAAACAAAGAGTATAATTGTGACTTTCTAGAATCGACGGAAAAAAGCCGAAGACCGCTCACGCACATTCCTGAAGTATCTTCAGTTTGAAAACTATTTCGTTAAAAATGTATGCAATGCATTCTCCAATCGACATTTCCAATCTGTACTGTTTATTCGTGCCTAGGAATCAAAGTTCGCCTAAATACCCATCATACAAAATGTATAAAATTTATGAAAATTTATGAGATAAAATTCACCAAGAAAAATCTGCTGCAGGTCAAAAGTACATGATTGTGAGCATAATATCAAGATTTATATTCCTATCTATTTTCACTTTATTTATTTGGATTATTAAATTCTAATCTTAATTTTATTATTAAATTAATCTTAAAATTTGAAATTTCATTCAGTTTAACTTGGAAAGGTACCTATTATCAACACTTTTTCTGATTTATTTCGCTAGTTTCCTGCACACTTTTTCTGACTCCATAGGTAGTTGGCGCCAAAATCAGCCATGAATTTATTCGAAATCCTTATACTTTTTTCCGTGCATTTTAAATTTCCGTTTCCTGTTGAACTTGAGATCAGTAGTGACCAATGAAAAATGACATAATAAAGAAAATGCTACCACATCGGCTGAAGTACGATCCACAAAAAATTATTTTGTTTTTCCCTTCTTTCCCTCTATCTTATCTCCACAAATAAATATTGCCCTAATTATTATTACATTCGATGCAAAATCGAAACGCTTGTGTTGTTCATCGATGAGAACACAGTTCCTGGATTTTCGTACATTAAATAACCCATCTTTACCTGTCAAATATATCAAGTCAATCTCAAAACGATCGCAGCTCCATGCGTGATTTTATTTTCAGTTGAGTCAAAAGATGAGATTTCATGGAATGTTTTCAACCGACAAAATCTGTCATCGGGAAATTGATAAATGACTCAAACGGAACTACATTATTGGTGACCTAACTCTGTTTCCCTAGAATAATGATCAAAAACTCTCGTTGTTTTGTTCTTGGAAAATACCATTATGTAAACCAGAACTTCATGCTCAAGTAACGAAAGTCGGTACACGCATGATTAGAAATCATGTACGTAGATGCATTGATTATATGCAAATTAAAGGGAGACTCGAAGAAACGATGTGCTCTCAGTTTTCAGCGCAATGATCGGTAATTCTTTTGAATGACGCGTAAAACTGTGTTTTCCGATGATATTTTCTTCTAACTTCCCCAAGGTTGCATTGATAAAATCGAAAAATACGCACAGATAAGTGTCTGAACAGAGTACTTGATACTAGATTCGATGGTATGCCTGCACAAAGAAATTTTGCAGACGGCTCAGACTATTTTCTGGTACGGACAGCAGTGTTTACAATATAGGTATTTTTATTAGAACTATTATCGGAACAATTCTGATTAAATTCTCCACAAGAAAACTAGATGCAGCTTGCACTTCTGATGAAATAATTGGAACTTAAATCAGTAGGTACTTACTTTCTTGAGTTTTGCATCCGTTTTTCAAATTAATCTCACTTTTACATGTTTCCATTGTTTTCCGTAATTCAATCGATAATCAGAAATCAATAAGATAATTCATTCAGAATTGTGTACGATTTTTTAGTTGGCACCGATGCTCCTTCTTAGTTTTAGTGAAAACTAGTAACCTTGTGATTCATTCGTCCGTGGATTCACTGCAAGGTAGTGGCTGGCCATGTCCGGGAGGGGGCACCCGGAGGACCCGAAAGCTGTGACACTCCCCTCCCTGCCACAGAACTAGAAAATTCCCCCCCCCCCAAATCGTCATTTTTCTTGATAGTCACGAATTTGTTGACATGGAGGTCCCCTCCTCCCGAACCATGAAAAATTCCTGTCCACGCCGCACAGTGGATCGAGTTAATTAAAGAGGTCGGGAATGAAATTTTTTAATGAGACTGCAAATTTTGATGTTTAATTCGTCACATTACAAACTTTAAGGGGTGGTTCGGGAAGATAATTTCACGAGGAAACCAATGGAACCGCTTTTAGGTTCTAAAAGTTTTATATAGACGGAGTTATGAGCTTTTAAAGTTTCCAAATTTTGTCCGACCTCTCCTATTGACTCGATCCACCGTGCGCCAGTGCTCATCAGCAAATTACACTTGGTTTAAATCCTCATTTTGAATGAGCACGAAGCAGATGAAGCAGATTTAGAAGGAAACGAGGAAAAGTGTCTTGACACCGATGAATCTTCGGATGTTACGAGGAAATACGCTTACGTTTTCACGTATTAATGAATGAACCAAAAAATGACTCAAAGAGTGTTTTCGTCATAGGTTACTTCAGACGTGTCTATACGCCTGTCCCCTGATTTTGCATCCGCTTTGTATGAGCTGCGAGTGGCTCACACTGCTTATTCGTAAAGCCCGAGCGAGGTTTACGATTAGCAGATTTTATTGTAAAGGTGACACAATTTGAGGATAGCTACAATGAGGAAAGTTATTATATTCACTCCTTCTGGGTGTGGAACTGAACTATCTCGGTCGGACCCTTACCATCTGACTTTAAAAAGTTGTATCGATATCCCTCATTCTTAGCTCCTTATTATTTATTTTTTTTTTTTTTTCATCACACATGCTTTTAGGAAATCAACAATTAAAAGGAAAGGATCTGAGTCGGAAAGATGTTTATATCTCACAAAAGTCAAATAAGCAAGTTTCAGTCATTGAGAGCTTTGACATCTAACTCGTATCAGTCTAGTAGGTAAGTAATTATCTAAAAAAAAAAAAGAGGAAAAGAAACTTCCTCAAAATGAAGCATTTTGTAAATATACCTCAACATGGTGCAATGTGAAGCCTGTATAAGTGACTTGGAGCAAAATGGCCATGACTGACATTTTTGGAAGAATTAAGGTGTTCGTATTCTCAATAAGCCTGAAAGGGACTTCAAAAATCGTTCTTTGGGCGGCAGACATTTATTTCCTTAGAAATCAAATAGGGCTGTTCTCACCTGTGATATTCATTACTAAAACTAAGAAAGACTTTTGTGCTATTACAGCATCCACTGAATGATCGGTTTGATATCTTCGCATAGTCTGGTAGCTCATTGTTTTCTAGCTGTTTTTCTCGGTGTTTACAAAAAATCAAAAGTTGTTGTAAACGAATAGGTAAGACGGCAAAAAGAGCTAAAAAAAACTCAGGCTGAAAGCTGAAATAGAGTTATGCGATTGTTTGGTTGTGCTTCTTTGTTTGGTTACAAGTTGTTTAGTTGGACCGAGTTCATCAGAAAGGAACCAACCCACATTAATTTGAAACTGAGAAAAAGAGGTTTGAAGTTTTCTTCCTGCATAAGGCTCAATGTAGAAAATAAACTTTAACGCCTCTTTTCACAAACCAATTTCTGTTTTTCGACTTTCAGTTTTTGGCAGGAGAAGATATACGGCTAGTGGAACTCGAAAACATCCTTGAGTCCATTTTTCAGAAATGTGGGTTGGTTACCCTCTGATAAACTCGGTTCAGTTACAGTTTAATTACAATATCATGTCGCATCTGCCAGAGGGAGATTTCAATGCCCAGACACATCGATACTTTGCCTCCGAGGAGGAACTTTCAGGAAAACAGTCTTCCCAAGTAGCATTTTTCAACGGAAAAATCGCGATTTGTTGCGATTTTGTCGGCGATAAAATCGCTAAGATCATCAACATCTGAGCGATTATCCTCGATTTTGTTGCAATAAAATCGCGATCTTATCGCCCGGCAATTTATCGCAATATTATCGCAACAAAAATCGCGATATATAGCGATTTAGTCTCGATTTTATCGACGAAAATTGATCGCGATTTTATGGAACAAAAAATTGCGATGCATAGCGATTTAATCGCCATAAATCGCAAATTTTTATTCGATAATATTGCGATAAATTGCCACCGATATAATCGCGATAATCAACGCTCTTTAGCGCGATCACCGCTACTTGGGTTCAGTCAGAATAGCAGAATTCAGTCTAAAATTTTCTTAACTAAAAAATAATGAATAAAGCAACCACTGACGCTTCACTTCCGATTCACCTTATGCATTGAAATTTCAAACTTCGCCTCCCGGTCGTTTTCGAGCAGTTTCTGTTGGAGTTCGTCGACGTCAATCATTTCTGCACGCGCTCTTTTTTCCTTGCGATGAATCACACCTTCGGTAACAGGCGGAAACTGGCTCACCGCACTTCCGCTCTTACATCTGTTCGTAGAAGGTGGATCTTGATCTTTGGATGTCTTTGAGCAGTTCATCGAAGTCGGCCCGCAGATAATTTCAGCGTCCGTGCTTTCGTCGAAGATGGGACTCTGACCATCTGCCGATCCTCCATCTTCCCAGACCCGCTCATTTGCATCAAATGAGCTCATCTCTGGACATTTTACGTCTTTTTGTTTCACCTCAGCTGAAAGTTGCGACTGCGACGGAGTCGAAACTGTTTCTACGAGTTTTCCTATCTCAGAGACTTCCCGATTAATTTGTTTCGGTCCGTTTATATTATAATTTTTGTCACGATCAGATGTATCTTGAAGTTGGTCTTTGAGCTCACTTGATTTAACCCTCAATGAGCCGTTAGGAGGAGACGATCTTCGCTTCACACTTATCACGAACGGCCCTGATACAACCTCCGAGTCCACTGCCTTCTCGAACGAAAAATGACGACCATCCTCTAGCGTTTCATCTCCATCGTCTTTTTTAGAATTTTCATTTTCAGGCGGAACTTTTTCCAGATCTGAAGACGACAATTCTTGCACGAAATCTCTCTTGAATTTGACTCCGCGCTTCTCCAGATCACCAGTCTGCGGTCGTGTCTCCTGTTTCGAAAATTGAAAAAGTCCGTTTTTCAGCCCGGCACTGAGAGATCCTGCTCTCCCGTCAGGGCCAGAATTCGAAAAAATACCCGAAACGGTGTCACCAGCACCGCTAAAAAGTCCTGTTTTTGTGTGAGGCTGTTCTAACTTGTCTTCTAAAAATAAGAGAGAGTCATTTTTTACTCTCATAGACTTCTTCGCACTTGTATTTGATTTGTAGAAAGGCGCAGACTCGCTTGAAGTTTGGACCCCCTCGTTGTGTTCACCCCGAGGTTTCTGCTCCACTTCAGTAAGTTCTTGGATTTTAGATTTTCCGTTGATTGGAGAGAGCTTTCGAATGCTAGGGTTTTGGCCGGTTTCTTTCATCATAAGCTCATGACTTAGCTTTCGTTCAATAATGAGCTCATCTGGACATTGGATTTTCTTCAACTCGAGGGGCTGATGATTAGCGTCAGAGTGTAAAATCCGCATTTGAGCATAATCCATCTCGTTCAGGTCCTGAATGTTTTTATCGGTGCTTGCGGTTTGAATCGGGGACAGTCTTCTGCTTTTGACATCAGATCCGATGATCTGATTGGTGTTTTGGTCCTCTATCCTCTGAACCACCCCCTCGACAATCCTGTATTTGGTTGCAGGTTTTAGAACGTTGTCAGTCTCTGTATCTCGATTTCCATCGTGTTCGGGTGATGATCTTTCTGCCCTTAATTTTTCAGCGTGGCACGGGCCGCAACTCTTGAATTCATGACCCTCTCTCTCGCTCTCGCTTAATAATCCCCAGTGTCTACAGCTACATTTTGTGGTTGTTCTCGTCCAACCATTTGAGCTGTCGTCTGTCGTATCGAGTGTTTCCAAGTTTTTAAGGTCTGAGGAGCTTTCCGAGAGAATCTTTTCCGAGTCCTCAATTTCGTCTTCTTGGGACTCTGTGCATTTCCCCTCCTCGCCCGTACTTTCGCATGCAACTTCATTTTCAAGGGATTCTTTTGGGTCCTCACACTTCTGATCTCGTTGCGCTGAATCATCTTGAGCTGCCTTCTCTGGCTCTTGAGACTCATTTTTGGCTCTCCTGTCGTCTCTAAGTTTTACCAGCGCTGTAAAAAGAAAAAAAGAACTATAACTTGATTTTAAGAAAAGGAAAAGCCAAAAGCTGAACGAAATTGATGAATGATCCTTTCAACGTCTTACTTATTGGTAGGATTATCGCGAGTGTAATTTCATTGCCTCGATATATTAGATAAAAAAAAAAAATCCGTACCAAAATCTGTGCTACACCAAAATTTGCACAAAATGTATGATGGTTTGTGTTTCACTTCTTACATATTAACCAAGAGTAACACAAGAACACAAATATTTCTATCAGTGCGCGGATTCTTTGTCTCTCGACTTTATCAACAGGGAACTTGAATCGTATTCATGAACTAACGTATACACAACTCAGTAGACGAATTAGTCTTTTTTTTTTTAAAAAATATATATATATTTTTGAGATAGCCATATATTTTTGATATTGGCATTATTTTTGCTTCTCTGTAAATCCAACAATCAGGGCCTATAGTTTTCACGTGTGCGAAGTAATTTTTTTATTATTATTTTATTTCTTCCCTCTTTTTCTTTTCATTCCATAATTTAACCGTTTTCCTGCAAAGATAGTAAAATTGTAGGAATGGGTACTTTACCTTTAAAACTCTCCGTCAAAGCTCTTTGCTCTCGTTCATTCAACTGTTGCCTCATTTTTTGCTCTTCCTCTGCACCACCTCTCTCCCTAGGAAAATTTGACAGCTATTATTAGCGAAAGCATGGACTTATTAAGGTAAATTAATCGCTTTTGCGACACATCTTAATGTGTGAAAATACCGAATTCTTCAGTCAATCTCGTGGCTAAACAGGGCCGGATTAAGGGGGTGGCCACATGGGCCGCGGCCTATGGCGGCAAATCTAGGGGGCAAATTTTGAAATTTTTTTTAAATGTAGGTATGAAAAAAATCGGATTTAGAAATTAAAAATTACAAACGAGAAAAGGCTGCAAAATCTCTCATTTCCTGAGAGTATAGTAATTTCTAATTTTGTCGTCTTTCAGTGATACAAGAAACAGCTTCTTTAATTAGTCGAATTAAGAGAGAAATTAAACACACAATTTGGCCCGGAACGCTGACTTAGGGAGAAATGATGACGAGGACTTGAGATGAAAAGGAGAAGCCCTCGGCGCGGCAATCGGCACGTAACACATATTAGCGCCTACAAGACAGCACGAATACTTCACGCATTGCATCAAACACAGTGCGCTTATGTGGTCAGCGTGAAACGGATAGCGCCTACAAGAATGCATGAATACTTCACGCACTGCGTCAAACACAGTATGCGGTCGGCGCGGCGCGGCGGCGGAAGTTAAAATCATTAAATCAAATTTTGTGCTTGTTCTTTCATTATTGTTTCGTTCATTTCTTATGAATGGAAGGCCTTGTCCATTAGAGATAGGTTTACGAAACTTGACTTTCGCGCAAAGTTCCGTGACCTTCTTCTAGTAGTGTTGACAGTGCTTTCCCAAAAAATGTGTTCGACACGAGTAAATGCGTCTTATGCACCCCTTCCCCGCTGGCACGTTCACTTGAGGTTTTTGTTGATGTTTCAAAACGAATGAGAAGGGGGCGGCAAAATACAGGCGGCCCATGGGCGGCAAGTACAAAAATCCGGCCCTGTGGCTAAAAACAAAGTATTACTTCTTGTCTATCTAGCTTTATGTAGTATCGCGATAAGCACATAACTAACCAACTAACTAACGCCTTGTCTCCACAGGACGTTCGAATCGCAGGAATAAAACTTCTGGGCTTTTTTGCCGTTAAACAACACATCAAAATTCTTCTTTTAACGTTAATTGTTCCTGGAACTTCACGATAACTCTTAGTTGGCACTGTGATTAGTATTTACTGACTCAATATTTTTCCCAACTTCGCAGGTGAGGTTTTGCCCTGGGACAAATCCAATAAAACGTTCCATGGAGACAAAGCCTAACTAAATATAACTGACTAACTAACTGACAAACGAAGGTGTAAATGATTAGTTTGAAATGCAAACTAATCATTTACAACAAAAATTTCAAACTTTGAATGCACATTTTAAAGGCAGATAGGAAGCAAGGGAGGCATGTATGAAAAAGTGAAAACAAAAACAGTAACTAAAATACGAGCATGTATGCTTTTTGATAATTTTGACTCCTGAGAGTTTTGAAAATTTGGGCTAGTTACCATGCTTCTGCGCAGAGTCGGTCTCTTGAAAATACTGGTCGTCCATCCAAGTATTGTAAATGTTTCTGAAACGAAAAACGGAGAAAATGGATAATTACATGGCAGCACAAACATTTTTCAACTCATGCAATGACTTTATTGCAACGTCTAATTCTTGTTTGCGCCATTATGTACCATTTGATTTCTTAGTTCCGTAACCTATATTTTAGATACACCCCATATGTGTCATCAGTTTTCCTAAATGCAAACGTGATTTAATTGAAGAGCCAGAATCAGTAGTTCCATATATTTGAGAATATAGTCCGTATGGCTCTATGCTTTTTTCAGATCTCATGTTCAAATGTTCATGTGTGTGCTCTTGTTCTCGCGTCAAGAGAAGCACGGAATGTCGTACTTTGCGGCGATTCACGGTATGATGGTAGCATAAAAAAAAAAATAAATAAATAAATAAAATATACGCCCTCAAAAAATTTCAGATTTGAGGCATGGAATGGAATTGAAGCTCGACTTATTAACATAAAGTAGATTGCTTTAAAATTACGAAAAATTATTTTGTATTCAAAGATATATTTTTCGAGGAAAATAATTTTTTCTTAAAAAAATTTATATGAGTTTTTTCCAATTCGAAGAAATATAATTTCTTCATCAATGACAAATTTAATTATCTTTCCACTAAGGAAAAATTCAACTGTATCTAGAGAAAAAGTATTTCACGAAAAAAAGTCTTCAAATTACAATAATAATAATTTAAAGAAAAGAAAGTCTTCACTTCGAATAAATCTTCTTGGAAGAAAAGGAAAAGAGGATTTTATTTAATTTAATGAAATGTTCTTCTATTTTACCATACTACCATATTAATTTAGTTTTCGCCAAATTTTGATTAAACAGCGGTAAAGTTATTGTTACTCACGCAATTTAATATCAACGATTTTCTGTAGCTTGGAATTGTTTTGATTACAGGATTTCCAGTCAAAGTCAAGACTCGTAAATTTTTCATCGAACCAAAAACCTGTGCATACCATGTGTAAACATAATGTGTAAACATTATAAAATAAATAATGTGGAAATAAAGAGTGCAAACCACAGTGTTCACCGGATTATTCGAATGCTTGTTATCCTAACCATAATATCCGAGCTCATTTTTACCATGCGGTCGTTCGGAGCGTTACCTTGACTTCCCTTCTCCATCGTTCTTCTCTTCCGTTTTTCACACTCAGTTTTTCTTGGCTTTTTCCGAATCATCCGAATTTATGATCATGCGCACCGCCCCGACCAACATGTTAATTCGAGCTATCCGGTGCAACCTGTACTTTCAAGAAGAAACGTAACTATCGTTTGCAAGAAACATCGGCACTCACATACTGCCGTGCTAAGGAAGAACGCCGTATGAATCTTCAGGCGTTGCCAAATTTCCATTGATAAAATACGAATTTCCCGAAAAACTTATGACTATTCTTCTTCCAATTTTTTGGATAATTTTTTTCGCAATTTCACCTGAGGTTCCTAAAAATTTCAAGTAAAAATATTCACAACATTCCTGAAAAATAAAACATTTTATCAGAGGAAATTTGGCAACTTTCGAATGTTCATTTGGCGTTCTTCCTTAGCACGGCAGCACAGTATCTAGGTAATTCCACTAGAGGGGCCTGGCCCTCCTACCACCAGGGGGTCAGGCGGGTATGGAATACCTCCAGTAGAGAGGAAAGTCCGCGAAGCCTCCCCCGAGTAATTGTTGAAATGTCAAATCTATTAGGACGCATTTTGAGGTTTCCACAACGGTGATTTTCCATCAATTTTTGCAGAAAAATTACACTTTTTCTTTTTCAGCAAAGAATACTTTCAAATTGTTGCATTCAATACATCCGGAAAATTTTTGAAAATTCTACTCTATTTTGACGCTTCCATGATGAAAATTTTAGAATATACTAACTGAAGCTTTTCCCCCCACCATTTAGGATTTCTGGGGGGCAGATTATATTATTTTTAATTCCAGGGGGGATCAGGTCCCCCCTGAAATTTCAATTTTCATCAACAACGTTGTGATTCATACATGTCTCAGTTCTTTCTCTACCTACTTTTACACGCACACAATTTTAAAGAGAGGGAAAGAAGAAACCCCTTCACAGAGCCTCATTACACATTTAGCTCACGGAGGTTTTTCGCTCCGGAGAAAAATTTTACTAATTTACTATTCTTAACCTGTTAATTTTTTTGGTTTTTGGTAAAGACACAATTTAATTACAATGTCAACGGAAAAGATAAGAAAATGCCAAGACGGCGAAATGTGTCATCAAAATGTGTCTCGTGATCCATGCAGGGTTGAGCCACTAGTTTCACTGCGCCCTCGGGATTAACTTTACCAGTGGCGTGGCGTGCTTTGCTATATATCGATTAATCTGCCATTTAAATCTATGAAAAAAATCATAGGTGAAAAAATCAAAAAATGAAAAATCTTATCAGCGAACACCTTGATAATCGATTCTTAACTACAGCTTCAAATGGAGAAATAATATCGATAATCGATCTTTCACGCCACGCCACTGAACTTTACATCTCAAGAGTGCAAATGTAACTACGAGAGCAATCAGACAAATATTTCGCGATCGTTAGACACATTTTTGACCATCTATAGCTGCTAAAATAGCAGTTAACACCATCAGACTCTCAGTATTAGAAGACGACCGAATTTTGCAGTGAGCAAAAATAAGTTTGAAATAGAAGTTTAGGGAAGTTTAATTTTAGAATGCCTGAACATACAACATCAGTAATATTAGAAATCTTTGATACCTAAATGTAAAAAGTGATCGATCTTGAAATATTTAATTTTGGTCTGAGACTTTTTCAAATGACTCATGCAGAATGTTATCATGCATTTATACAGGACAGGACCAAGACCCTTGATGGTGAAACTTCCAAACTACGTTTCTCGATTTGCGACGTTACAGATTTCCCGTCATACTTTATTTTTTAAATGGAAAACTTCTCACGTCAATTCTTAAAAGTTCCCGCGATGTTTTCTTTCCGAGCGAGGAAAATTCCACGAATAATTCAAGTAGTAATGTTCATTTCTTCTTCTTCTCCTTCTTCCAAAAAAAAAAAAAAAAAAAAAAAGAGTGGAAATTTTAAAACACCGCAAAGGAGATACGTGGTTTGGGAGTTTTGCCATCGACTTATATTGGGAGGAAATTTGATAAAATTTAAGACGTTTCAAAATGTGTGCGTGTTCAATTAAACTATGTTCAAAATGCATTTAGTAATGTAAAGTAGAATTTGTACCGCCAACACTTGAGGATCCCGCAAGGTGTTGTTTCCTAAATCCAAAATCGACAGTTGATCGCAATTTTTCAAATGCTCTACATCCTCCAACACTGAAAGTTGGTTGTTACTCAGCACCAGAGTGTTCAAGACCGGAAGTTTGTCTGTTGAGAAATTAGACCATGTAAGTTGTCTTGAGAGTTTTATCATTGTTGGAAAGAATCTTGTTTCCACGCTCAATGACGCGCCTTCATTTCGTGGAGCGTACTTTTGCAATACACGTTGTATCTTTAGCACTAATGTTTCGAATTGTCAGAGGCAGTGAGAAAATTCTATGATTTTAACACATACGTGCAAGCAATTTTTTGCAGTATTTATCCTAAATTTATCAGCACAACGATCTCTGTTGAGTGGATAAAAAAATTCGAGTTCAAGACTTTGAGGGAAACTTTCCTGAAGTGTTCTGTACAATGAATTGCGAGAGCGGTTTTATGTCTGCGCCTGGAAAAGTGTTAAGCTCCATTGATTTTCAGCATTTTCATGCCCTGAACATGACACATTAAAATTTTAAGTATATAGCTACTTCTACGCTGGATGTACACTTCTTTGGATAACAAACTTCAAACCGCCGTAAGTTGGGATCGGCATCTATTTTGGCGTCCTTTATGACAAAATGTTCAATGAGCGATCCCTAAAGCATCGCAACTTAATTTCGAGTTTTTGTGAACTTACGCCCCTTAAACGTTGAACGTAATAATTTCACTGCCCTTTTAAGAGCACAGTGTGGAATATGCGGACCAATGTTTAGTAAAAAGGGTTGGAAATTAGATTTTAAAAGAGGCGCGGGAGCGTTCATAAATTAAGTAACGTTCTTTTTCGACCTTTTCGAGCCCCCTACCCCCTCCTCGCGTGAAGCGCCTTTGTGCCAAAGGTCCTGTCCTTAAACACTTAAAACTAAAATGGAGTATCACTCTCCTTGACCCCCTCCCCAGAGCGTTTCGTAATTTATGAAAGGCCCCTATGGGCAAAATGACTGATTCGGTTACGGCCTGTATTGATATGGATTTGTATACTTGCCTATGTTTTCGATTTTACAAATGTAGTTTCGGCTGAGATTCAGAGTATCGAGCTGCCGCAGGTGCTCTAAATTCTCCATGGTTCTGATGCAATTATTATGCAAGAATAAACTCCGCAATTCTGTTTGATAGTTCAAGTTTTCAATCCGCCGGATCGCATTGTTCTCCAACCACAAACATCTGAGGCCTGTGTACTCGTCCAGATTTTCAATTAAACTATATCCTAGAGGAAACAGTTTCCAGAAATGTGAGATGAAAAAGTATACGATATGGAACCAAAAATTTAGTTTCTAGATATGTGAGATGTAAAAGTCTACGATAAGGGACCGAAAATTTTGAGACATTTGATGAGCCTCAGCGATCGGGGTCAAAATGTATTCGAACTCAAGTATTTTCACCTACGCAGTGAAGTTACGTGTTTCTAAACTCTCTTCATCGTGTTGTCATTTCGAAGGTGAGGCTGCAGAAACGCGTACCTCGTTTCCGGTGATCTAAAATTGTCGCTACCATTTCTTTTCAAATCAAAGGAGAACAAGCCAACATTATCGCTCAAGATGTTCACATATTATCCTTCATACAGAGACATGGAGAAAAAAATTAGGGTAATTTTCACGAGATGACGGTAAGTACTTGTAAAAGATAAAGGTCTAAGTAGCGCCACAATCAAAATACTCGTTTTTACAGTTTTTCCGTCCATTTGGAGTAGATGTATGGTATGGAAGACTGAGAAAAATAGAAGGTGATATAATAACCTTTAGTATATGGCTTTGCTTACCTTTATAATGCAGGTATAAAACATCGTTGAGCTTGGGGGTTAAGTATAAATTGTTATCTTTGCAATGAGCTCTCAAAGATTCTGCAGTAATCCTAAAATTCATTAAAAAATCGTTAGCTGCATGGAGCAAGACATACAAAGTTAAAATTGTCCGTGTTTGGTGTTACTCTGTGTTACTTTTTTGTGTCAGATCAACCCAAAGGACTTTGTTGCGCTCTACACTATTTTGTGTTAAATCGACCCAAATTGTAGGTTACTCGGATCATAAAGAAAGTGTCTTGCCAAACATATGTATTCTTGTTTTCCTCCCCGTGTTCAGAAGTTGCGACTCGCAAGTGGCTAGCGCATTGGATTACCACCGATGTGATTTAGAATCGATACTGGCGGCTGGCGACAAGCAATAAATTTCAACGGGGTCGCAGATTACACAAAGAGTTGGTTACCTTTACCCAAAAATTTGGTCGATTTAACACTGGAAAAACTAACCCCCAAAAAAATCAAGCAACAGCTTGTGCTAATTTGTGTTTTACCTCCCGCATACTCGTATTAACACAAGACTTTGGTTACTTTTTCTTACTGTGTACTAATGAATATGTATATGAACTAATTACAATCGAAAAGGACTCAACTGGAATTAACCTACCTACATCAATTGCTTGATTATTTCTGTGATAATTTATTTATAAGTAGAAAACTAAACGATTTTGCAATTTGAATTTTTTTTAAAGTGTATTTTTCACCATATAGATTATTCACATAAAAATTTAAATACGTTAATTAGTCTAGTTCTTTGTTCACAAAAATGAAATACAACCAGTGACGTGAAATGCAGTTACTGAATTCGTCCATTCAGCAATGAGACTTTACTATGTTTGTCTCATTTCAGGAACAAAATATGTATCATGCCATTATAGTTTCCATATAAAAGGTGATTTTGCGGGTGAGCTAGAAGTAGTAATTCTTCATTGCGACATGCAGGCATATTTTCTTCCGGTTAGTGGAAAGAGGGGAAAATCTAAAAACTGTCCATATTTTAGAAACGGACTTATCTTTTCCACTGCAGAATTCTACAACAACCTGATAAATAATGGCCAAGCAATTCTTTATAAATTAAAATAAATTGGTCACCTTGGCCCGAGCTTCTTGTTATCCACCATATCCTTAATCGTCTCATTTTCGACCGTCTTGCTTCTAATCTTATTCCACTTTAAAGCCATACTCGATTTGAGGTTGCTGGCAGGATTCTAACCGGGAACAATAGGAAACACCACAAACGCATCTCCTCGAGAAGAGTTTCTTGGACTCGATAACAGCGCCTGCAGCCGATGGGTAAACAACCCGCACGTCGTCATGGCAACTGGACAGTAATGCGCCACGTTCATCACGTGCATTTGTTTTCGCATGAAATATCGTTCAAATCCTACCTCATGTCCCATATTTCAGAATACTGTCACTCAAACGGTAACAAACAAGACTCGCTCTCCCGGGTGTCATTGCGATTTAAAGGGTATTTTTGCAATGCTCTTATTTCTCGGATATACTTCAAACTGTAGGAGTGTGGGGGTAGCGCCACATATTTAAAATTACCGAATATGTTTCGGAATATTCCTTAGGATATTCGCTGGAGGATACTTATTTCTTTTTAAAAATAATTCCAAGACGTATACTGAGAAAAAAGATCCGTCTTGTGAACTGCAAGTACGGTGTTCTGTATCGGCCGCTATCCTCGGTTCATGCAACCAAACTTTCAAATCAAACTGCACTATTGACAGATCTCGTTTGCATAAACCCGGACTCGCTTCTTTTCCGGAATTTTTTATCGGTAATGACCATGGACAAAACAAAAATTCCTGCTAAGCTGCGGTTTCTAACAATTTAAGAGACACGATGAGAGCTGATGCATTTTCTAGAATTAATATAATTTCGAGTGAATTTCTGGTAGTCATCAGAAATGTAAAAAACCAATCTGTATTTTAAGAGAGCGGTGATTTTTTCTTAGTTCAGTGTACAGTTCAATCACCTCATCAAGTATACTATTAAACTTTACGTGTGTATAGCTCACTATCCATATAGCTCCTTCAAACAATCAAATAGATCGGCTTGAAGTACCTGTGTCGCTTATTGCAGACCATAGACTTGAAGGAAAACAGAAGATTCATTATTGAACTCCGAAGATCACCCATGCCGCCATCCCAAGGAAGAACGCCGCAAATGAACATTCTCATTTCTAACGTTGCCGCCTTTGATAAAAATACGAATTTTCTTAGGGACTTGATAATAGTTTAAATCTAATTTCTCAGGTAAATCTAAAATATTTGAAAATTTCAAAAAAGAATATGCGTAAATTCCTCCAAAATGAAATTTCCATCGGGGAAAATTTGACAACGTTCGCATGATCTTACGGCGTTCATCTTTAAAGCGGCAGCATAGAGGATGTTGATACCGTTTTTAAGACCTCCATTTCCACTAAGAAAAAGAATAGTTTCCACTCCTAAAAAGTATACTCACATCCTTTTAGTGCCCTTTAGTGGACTATCATGCCTCAGTAGACTTTCTTTGTTTCTCCTTCTCCTTCCTCTTTTCCTGCTTGCACTTCTTGTCCAAATTCCCCCTTAACGGTAGATCACGTTCTTATAAGTTGCCCACTTTATAAAGATATCCGAAAACGTTTTTTTCCCTACCCCTTACCCTCTCTTAAAAATTTACTTCTGAATACTCATCCTGTAAAACTTTTTGAATTTATGCGTTCCACTAATCTCAAAATTTAACCTTTCCCCTCAACCCTTTTGTATTTTTACTGATATTTCCATGTGAATTTATTACTGTTACTGCCTTCTTTAGAGGTGTAAATGGCCTTAGATGCTAAAGCACCGCTTTAAAATAAAATTATTTTACTACTACTACCTCTTTTCACCTTCTTCTTTTAAGACAGGAAATAATAAAAAATAGTTGAGTAGAAAGCAGCTTAGGGGAGCATTTACGTCACTGACCGCTCATTGCTAAACATTTAATCCGCTTCAGCCTAGATTGTAACCCAATTTTTATACGACGAATGAAAAATTTGAATCAGTTGATACGAATTAAACAAAGGTAATCGTGTCCTCAACGAAGGACTATCTTACTATTCAATGGAGGAAGTGTGTTTTCCCTACGTTGTGTAAACAGATCCGTTCTCCTCACCAACGTCCGGTTCTTCAATTTACACGATCGTGTCTTCAGATTTAGCGGGCCTTTGGAATACGATACGGTCCATCATCTCTTGACGGTCTTCACTTTCTTTTTTCAGCGCTGAACTGCATAACCCGTCAAACGTTAAAGCACATTTGGACGTATTTCTGCCAAACGGAACTATGTGCATTATGGCGTGAGCCCTGTTATGCATATATTCTTATGGGTCCCAGGGCTCATGTCTTAATGCACATAGTTCCGTTTGGCAGAAATACGTCCATTTGAACTGCTCCTAACCGCATTGCGGTGGCATCCCTTCGGATAAAAATATTCACGGTATCAACTTCTTCACCTCTGCGGGAAAACGTTGAGTTGCAATGCGGGACATCCGACATAGCTGACATTGATCAAAACTTTGCGGAGAATTAAGCATTAACCTTCAGGGCCGGATTAAGGGGGTGGCCACATGGGCCGCGGCCTTCTGCGGCAAATTTTGCATTTTTTTAAATGTGGGTATACAAAAAAATCGGATTAATAAAAAAAAAAAATTATCCATGCATGAGAAAAGGGAATAAAATCTCTCTTTCCTGAGAGTATAGACATTTCTAATTTTGTCGTTTTTCGGTGATGCAAGAGACAGCATCTTTAATTAGTCGAGTTAAGAGAGGAACTAAACACGCAATTTGGTCTGGAGCTCAGCCCAGAGAGGAATGATGACGAGGACTTGAGATGAAAAGGAAAAGCCCTCGGCACGGCGGTCGGCATGTAACACATACTAGCGCCTACAAGAATGCATGAATACTTCACGCATTGCGCCAAACACAGTGCGGTCAGGAGCCGTTGGCGTGAAACGCATAGCGCCTACAAAACTCCAGGAATACTTCACGCATTGCGTCAAACACAGCGCGATCAGCGCGGCGCAGCGGCGGAAGTAAAAATTATTAAACCACATTTATGTTTGTTCTTTCATAACTTTTCGGTTCATTTCTTATAAATGGAGGACCTTGTCCACACAGAGATAGGTACTAACGTGGTGAACCCTCAAAATACAAGATGTTATAATGGGTGCTGTAAAAGATGTCTCTATTCCCGCAATGGGAAGTCAACAAAGATTACGATGAACTCAAATGTGTCCGATTCTGGCTTCCATTAAAAATCGTTATGTTGACTTAATAATTGGACGTATTTATGCTAAAAGGAACTATGTGTATAGGGTTTGCGTGAGACTTGATTCCTTTTAGCATAAATACGTCCCATTGTAATTTCTCACGCACGTAGTCTTAACGGCACATAATCACGTGACAAAATAATTTAAAACCGAGAAAATGTAAACTATACGCGGAGCCGGAGCTAGACACTTCAGCTGATCATTCACCCCTTCTGGCCAACGATCACCTCTGTTGTGGATCTTATCTCGACATGACGAGTTAAGACAATAAATCGCGACATTGTGCCGATGATGATATCAATTTTACAGTCCAATCCCGCATAACTTTGTAGATATATTAAATTGTCACAGCCTGACACTGATTATTGGTATTTATCAGTCGCGGCGGCACGGTGATAAAAAACCGCCTCGATTACTTGCTAAGAATTGAACTTCCGGGATTTCTTTCACAGAGCACGCCAGGGGCGGACTGGCCATGGGGGCGGGGAGGCAATCGCCTCCTAACAATACACCCTGAGGGCCCCGGGCTATCTGTTTTCGAGTCATCGTTTTTTCCCCGCAATGTTGTAATTTTCGAATTCTTTCCAGTCACTAGAAGACACCGAGATTCTTGAAATTTAGCGTAAAAGGTCACCTAAAGCGTATAATCCATAATATACAGGGAAATGTAGTGGGCTCCTGGGGCCCCAAACATGATGAAAGGGCCCACGAAGAATCCTGAGAATGGGTCATTTTGAAGTTCAAGTACTCATGAATTGGACTTCAAAAATGCTTAAAATTGCGTTTAAAAAGTGTGAGATGTTCAAAATTCTCCGGGGAAGGGGCCGGGGGCCCCCAACTGTAAGTCGCCTCCTAACTTTTCGACTGCCAGTCCGGAGTCCGCCCCTGGAGCACGCTCTTTGATTTGAAACTGAGAAGACGAATACTTTCTTTTAAAATTAAAAGGCATTACCTATCTACTATCTGTTGCTTCGAATCTTCACGGCAGAGCATTTTCTGCCTCCTCTTCCTTTTTTTCTTCGTTCTCTAATTTTTCGATTAATAGCCTACTAACCAGTGGCGTTAATGATCGACAATCGATATTTTCCCATTTGAAGCTTTGGTAAAGAATCGATTTTTAAAGTCTTCGTTGCCAGAACCCTGTTCATCGATCTTTTTCCATAGATTTGAATGACAGATTAATCGATGTATCGCAAATCACGCCTCACCTCTGGAGCTATTTCGTAAGGTACTTAAGGGGGGAGTTGTGAATATAATAAACTTTTCAAAAATATACACAGTTGTTCTGCTGCAAGACTTAGGTGATGGTGAGCAGGGCCGGATTAAGGGGGTGGCCGCATGGGCCGCTGCCAATGGCGGCAAATTTTGCAATTTTTTTAAATGTGGGTATAAAAAAATCGGATTCAGAAAAAAAAAATTATCAACGAGAAAAGGGACGAAATCTCTCTTTCCTGAGAGTATAGTAATTCCTAATTTTGTCGTCTTTCGGTGATACAAGAGACAGCATCTTTAATTAGTCGAGTTAAAAGAGGAGCTAAACACTCGATTTGGCCTGGAGCTCAGCGCAGAGAGGAATGATGACGAGGACTTGAGATGAAAAGGAAAAGCCCTCGGCACGGCGGTCGGCATGTAACACATACTAGCGCCTACAAGACTGCACGAATACTTCACGCATTGCATCAAACACAGTGTGCTTATTGTGGTCAGCGTGAAACGGATAGCGCCTACAAGAATGCATGAATACTTCACGCATTGCGCCAAACACAGTGCGGTCAGCGTGAAACGCATAGCGCCTACAAGACTGCGTGAATACTTCACGCATTGCGCCAAACACAGTGCGATCAGCGCGGCGCAGCGGCGGAAGTTAAAATTATTAAACCACATATACGTTTGTTCTTTCATAGTTCTTTGGTTCATTTCTTATAAATGGATGACCTTGTCCACGCAGAGATAGG